AAGCCGAAGGTCAGTCATTGCCGAGATAAGATAATTTTGTTTGTTCGAGTAATTAACGACAGAATCGTTTACGAAGGATTCCATCTGCACATGTTTAGAAACGAAAACGTAAGTTTTGTATACAGAAATAAAAATAATACACTGCAATTAAAATAACAAATACGTATACAAATACGTAATATACAATTATATTAAACTGTGCAAGAATTTCCGTACGCAACTTTTCGTATAATTAAATGAACTATCGATCTCAAACGCAATCATCGCATATCCATCCCAATTCCAATTCGATGTATTTATCAATTAATTAATTAATATGTATCAAATTAATAATAATGTATATAAAATCGACAATACGTTTTATATTATTGTCTAATTTTATTTTACACGATTTTAAATTGGATCGGTATTCTCGGAAAATACAAACACTTTTATTCATCTCGAAATAGATTTAATAATCTTTTTTCATTTCAAAAAAATGTTTATTGTTAATTCTCTAAACCTATATCAGATAGAACTATTGCATTTGTTAATAAATAATAAATACGTTATTATTATGTGAATTGAATATTTAAACATTTTAGTACTAAATTAATAACGTAATATACGAAACGACTTGTATTAATGAGTCGACATAATCTGGTTAACACACAATAAATGTGTTGTACATGGATCGATGGATCGATGAATCGATTGCAATGTTGTCGTATTATCGCATTGATTTCATTCGCGAGGGAAATAAGAAAAAAAAGCCTTAAGCAAGAGCTTACGTGTCGATGCAGCATGTGCGCGATGTAATTACGTTTCCACGAAAGAAGATCGGCTCAGATGTATCGTAATTACAGTGAACTGTGCAAGCAATCAGTATTTATGATTCCACACCAAACGTGTAATGCATCCCTTAAAGTGTATTTCTCGCCGGATTAATGATAAATGTGCCACAGTAAAGCCGGAAATTGTGCCACTTTGCTTATGACCTTCCTGCATGTTGCAGCAATTGCTCATTGTATCGTGTAATTACGAACAACCGGCGTAATTACAAAGTAAGCGTCCAAATTACGATAAAGCGTCGGTTGTAACAAGCAATATGATACGCAAATTCATGTATTATCCAAGTAATATAATTCTTAAAATATTAACGTGCATTTGTTAAAATCTCTAAAGCTCACGAACTATTTTTGCCTTACAGGCAAAATAACACAAATTTTAAACAAAAATTTGTAGCACATAAAAATGTAAATATTAAATTTTTTCTTACATAAATATACATGGGATAACTCCAGTATATACGCACCTATCAAAAACTTAATTTATTAAGTATTATTTGTCATGTTTATAGTAAACAAATTATATCAGTAAAAACTTTGTCCTGTCTATTACTGTGAAAAAAATATTAGAAATCCGAAATATTTATTTTTTATATTAAAAAATAAACTTTTCGAAATTTTTCCATTTTTTCTGTATATCCCATAAGGGTGGGATATATGGCTACTTATAGGGGGAGGGGAGGTATGTACGGCTCATGAAAAATTTACAAATAATCCATATAAATAAGACGTATGACACAATAACTTATAAAATGTGTTTATAAAATTTTATTAAGAAATAAGAAAAATGTAATAAGGTAAATATATATATATAAAGTAGTAAATAATAATTACAATCTTCCACATGTATTACAAGTGTTATGACATGAGATATATATTTCATGTAACACGTTTATTGCATTTAGTGCATTGAATTCAAATCTGGGCACTTTGTATGCTTTGGGCATAAATCCCGCTCGCTAAAAATGCCACATATCCTAAACAGGTGGAATATATAAGACGACAAACTAAACAAAGAATACAAGAGCAAAGTACTTGTATTTTGTTATACAACATGCTTTACTTATTCCTCTACACTCACGAACTAACCACTAAGTTTTTTGCACGTCCTACAGTAATCATTTTATGTTGATTATAATTTATTTAATGGCGCTACTCAACATAGTGACAAATCGATTCATCTCACAATAATTCCATTAATATTAACAGTAAGAAACTGAAATCATAACACAATACTTATATAACATAAAGACATGTAACAGAGTAGTTGCGGGAAAATTATCTCCACTCCTTCTATTTTTTTCTTCTGCCTTTCTATTGCCGGAGTTACCTTACAATATGTATGTACAAAAAATTTTACTCACAATTCATAAAAGAATGCAACAAGGAATATGTTCTCCATAACAATGTTGTAAATAGAAATAATATTTTCTATTACTTATAGACGCGTTATCTCTTGTAGTTTAAGGTATAGGTACTCTTTCTTACCAGTTACTTTTCTGCGTATAACTTGGAGAGTTATGCGCGCGTTTCGGTCAGTAAATTAAGAAATTCAAAAAGCGTGCTAAACTACCACGCACAGTGTCGACGGTGTACACGGTTGCGCACGTAATTGGCCAATTTGCATTTCGCGATCCAGGGCGAAGGCGAGCCGCGATACGCGAGATAACAGAGAGAAGGAAAGAGGAAAAGAAGGAGCGAAATAATCGGGCCAAACCGCCCGATTTCTATCGGAATGCGGCAATTTACGATCGGCAAGATAAGCCGCCATCCTCGCCGCGAAAGACTCTCCGCTCGCTTCTTCAATTCACCTGCGTGAGTCGGCGATGCGCAGTCTCGAGCGGAGCGTGCTCGCGCGCGTGCTGCGTTGATGCGCGCGTTGCATTCGCGTGTCAGAAATGTTTCAGTTACCGTGTAACCTCTGTAGCACTTTTGATGTTTATCGTTTCCGCCATTTTAAGAAATCTTTAGAAGATGTTGGTTTGAGTCCTAAAAAAATGTTTTCTGCAATATTATTATCATTATTGTTGTGAAAAAAAAAAATATATATATATATTTATATGTAACATATATGCGAAAAACATTATCATTAAAATTAGATAGAAGTAACGCAAAATAAATTGTTATTATCTTCCAGATAATCTGTCGATTTTCTTTCGGATTACCGTTTCACAACACAATAATTCTATATCATCATATAATGCGTATTATTATTAGCGTTGGTTTAATAATATTTATTAACATCTTAATGTCTTAATATTATGTATATGGTTAATTGAAATGCTTCCAATTTATTATAAGTACTACCTTTAACGCACAGCCCTTAAAAATTTCATAACGGAAACAATTTTATTATCAATTTCAATATATCCGATTAAATTATAGAATTTTATCTACTAAAATAAGCGCCAAGTATATATTACTTGCGTTTCATAATTTTTTAAAGTAATAAAACATTATTTGAAAATAATGTTAAGATTAAACAAATTGCTCAAATTTTATTGCAATTGCATTCTGTTTATTTCTAAATTGTATTTTAAAAGTTTCGTTTGCATTATCATATTACGACTTACTTATACATATTAGCCTTCAAACAAATACAAATAAGATTTAAAGCGTGTTTCAATTGTATTAATTAATTTTACGATCACTATAAATTACAATTAATAATAATAAAAATTATTTTCCAAAATTTGAAATAATTGATTTTAAATAAAAATAAATTTTAAGAGAGATAAAAATTGTTATTGTACAATCTGATAGAGAAAGATTATAACATTAGAGCAATAATATTCCAATTATATGCATATATTATAGTACCGTCGAAATTTATTTATTTTCTAACATAGTTTTTATTTTAATTCTTTATGACAGAGAGAAACTAATAAATATTACATAAAATAATATTAAAAGGCTTCGTCAGAATCAGTCGTCTTTTTTTACACCTTTAATAATTAAACATCAAAATTAATAACTAATTGACAACAATCTTTCAACGCGTTCATATGCCATTTTGTTACATTCCGTGTCGCTTTCGCGTACATAGTCCAATATATCCTTCTTACAATACATCTAAATAATGTGAATTTGAAAATAAATAGATAAATAAACAATATAACTATTTTACATTATCTGTCAGTATTATTCAAATATAGGGGAGACTGGGGGGTGGGGTCAGTAGCCTATAGGAGTAAGTAGAACAATCAAGATGTTACAATTAAATCGCGCCGAAATACGCATGTCTGAGTATGCAGCAGCGACTGTCACTCAGTCTGCTGTGATATCTTGAGACGAACACATTTGTTTTAGAAATAACAAAAATTTTTTATACATAAATATATATAAATATGTATAAATATATATATATATATAATATGATAAATTATATGCTTATAAACATTTATAAATATTCATAAACATATATAATTATATCTAAAATATGTCCATATATTTATATATTTTTCTTTATTTCAACTTTTAAGTGTAATGAAAGTAGTAATAATAATTTGAAAACATTAAGAACAATAAAAAAATAATTTTATGTGCATGTGGGCACATTCTAAATGCATAAAGAATAACTTATCGTATTATGTTTGTTATTTATCGTATTATGTCTGTTATAACTGCAATTTCGATAACAATTCGGATTAAATAACATTTATTTATCTAATAACAAGGTATAAAGTTATACATTTTTTACTTACGGGGTCCCCAATCTCCCCTACTTTACAACTCTAGTACAGGATGTCTCATTTGAAGTCATCGCGTCGGACACAATTATCTCCTAGATCTAGACTGTTCGTTATTCCAAAATATATTTTAAATAAAACTTAATATTTTGAATTAAATCACAATGGAACTTAATCAACTGATGAGCGAGTTATAGGCAGAGTTGGTAAAAAACATGTTTTTAATAGTTTATATAAATATGTTTTAAATATGTTTTTTTATATTACCGTTTAAAGCATTTGAAGAATTAAAAACATATTTAAGAAAAAACATAATGTTTTATTAAAAAAAAACATTAGCCTTTATCAACTCTGATTATAGAAAGTAAAAGTTGTAGTGCGTAAAAGTTTCTCCTAACCCAAGCAGAACAAAAAGTCATGATAATAAAATTATGAAAATGACATCGCTATGAGATTATCAATGAGATGTCAATGAGATTTGATTTTATTGATTTTCTTGATTTCCAAGCGCTTGCAAAGTTGTATCGTCATTATAAGAATTTGTCGCCATATTTTCTGCTGCCACAAGTTGATGCATCATTCTGTACATGTTATTAATGTTAGTTCCTTCTTGAAATCTTAAATAGTCACTCGTAACATAACATTGATAGATATTTAATCTTTCGAGAGCTTACTATAGAACTTTGAGTTACGAATTTTAATATTATTGATATCAGTAACACTTCACATATTGAAATAATAACACATACCTCTGTTGATTTACTTGATATCCAAAAGTTTGCCAGTTTGTATCGTCATGACGAGAACTTACATCCGAAACGTCATGAGCATGGGATACTATGTTATTTATGTAATTTTCTTCAGAACTAGATATATATTCATTAGTTAATATTATTTAAATTGGATACAAATATAACATTAAATATATCATATTTATTAAATGTTTCACTCAAATTTATGAAGTCTACCCAGTCAGAAATGATGATGTCGATTCGACGTCGAAAGCATCAAATCGACCGTCGATCGACGATGATTCGATGTCGATTCCATTATCATTTCTAACTGGGTATATATTTAAATGTTAACATGTTCAATATAATTGCGTTAATTATGTATAATAGAATATACTATTTTAAGAAGAATAAAATATATTGATATTAGTATCATTTACCTTTGTTGACCTTCTTGATTTTCAAGATTATGCCAATATGTACTTCCATAATAATAACGCGTATTCATATTTTCTGCTGCTACGTCATGTTGCATCATTATATACTCGCTATTATCTGCAGCTTCTTTTTCATATTTTGAATTTTCATTTATATGATATTGACAGTGAGATCTTAAGTCATTTATTTCTGTATTGCTATAAAATACGCTAATAAATTGTAATTGCTGCAGATATTGTAATTTACAATTAAGTATTTTATCGATTGCGACATGTTGAAGTAAATTATAATAAGTAACGTTAAAATAAATTTGAAACGTAAAACGTAAACGTAAACGTAAAACGTTGAAGTAAAATTTTAATGTACTTAAAGTGTACATTATGTATTTACAATATAACTTAAGAAAAAAAAACATCATATTTTTATTAACAGTTACCTTTGTTGGTCTTGATTTCGAGGATCTTGCCTATTTATATCATCACGATGGAAGCTTATATTTGCATTTTCAATGACTATAGATTGTTGTGCCATTCTGTTAACATCATTATCTCCAGGTTTTTGTGGAGATCTTAAAGAATTATCCTTTTCAAAACAAATGTGGTGTATTAAGGCATCTGTCCCGTAAAATATGTCCAGTACATCATGGCAACGTTTGCACCTTGCAAAAGTAAAGTTTTCTTCACAAACTTCAAAATATTGCGATAGCGACTTATTTGCAATTTCTTTTTGTACAATAGCTCTTATTTCTTGACTATGTTTTCTTTCTAGATGCAGTTTTAGACTTCCTACTTTTCTTCCCAGACAAAGATACTCACAAAATTTACATTTTCCTTTGAATAAGTCTACTTTGTCACAATATTGCCATATCAAGTTATTATTGTTTTCCCATTTTAAGCGATCCTTTTCATTCCATATTTTATGCTTATAGTATAAATGTACCTTTATTGATAGTATAAATTGGTATAAATGAATACCGCATTTATTATAATAAATTTTATCACAATTATTGCACTTTATAGTGAATTTGTTTAATTTAGAAACATATTTCCACATCCAATGATTATATGATCTTTCTGCCAGATTCGATCGTTTGACCCCTGTCGAGCTTATTTTCGTACAATATCGCGATGTGTTACTAAAAACAAAAAGAAAGTGAAATGTATAATTTTTCATTAATATATAAAGATTATTGATTGAATCTTTCAGTTCCATAAGAATTATATAGTTTAATTCCTACTCTCATTCGATTTCTGTTATCAATCAATCAGATTAATATTAATTTCATTATATATATTTTACACGTCTTGACTTAAAAATAAAGCTTAACATTGAAAATTGGTACAAGTTTATATTTAGAAATGTTTCTTAACTTTTTACTGTAGGCTATTACAACGTCGTTTATCACCGTTATTGTAATAAAGTTAGATTAATAGATTAAGATAAATAGATTGAATTAAGTAATATACTAAATTTTTAATATATATTACAGTGTACATAATATGTATATTAATAACTTAAGAAAAGTGAAACATTAACATCTTAATTACATAACAGTTACCTTTGTTGATTTTCTCGATTTCCAAAAACTTTATTTAAATTATCATGATAGGAACTTGAATTTGTATTTTCATCGACTACAGATTGTTGTGTCATTCTGTTCACATCAGGTTTATCTTCAGGTTCTTGTCGAGATCTTAAAGATTTATTCCTTTTAGAACAAATATGATTTATTAAGACATCTGTCCCGTAAAATATGTCCAGTTTAACATCGCAACGTTTGCACCATGCACTAAATTTTTCTTCATAAATTTCGAAATATTGCCATAGAGACTTATCCGCAATTTTTTTTTTTATACTAGCTCTTATTTCTTGAAGGTGATTTTGCAGATGCCACCTTATACTTGGTAGATATGAACGATGAATACAACGGCCACAAAATTTACATTCTGCTGTATATAAATTTGTTTTGTCGAAATATTGCCATATTAAATCATTGTTATTTTCCCATTCTAAACGATCTTTTTCATCGTATTTTTTATGCTCATGGTATAAATGTCCTTTTATTATTTTTATCGTTCTATTTCTACTTTCGGGATTAATCTTATAAACTTTATCACAAATATTGCACTGTATAGAATCGTTTAATATAAGAACATGTTTCCGCAGCCAATTGTCTGATCTTTCTTGAAGTGCCATTGTATTCACAGAGAGTCGCGATATGTGTATACTAATAGTCACGAAATAGCGATTATACCAAAGAAGATATTCGGAGAAACTGTTTAGGAAAGGTCACTGAAAAGAGGGAGCAAAGAAGAGGGAGAAAGAACGAAACATTATTCACTAAGGTGTAAACATTATCGTATTGATTGAATTTTTCAGTTAAAAGTTATGAGTTTTGTTTTTGCTTATTCGATTTGTGTCGTTAAACGTTTAAATTGAAATTAGAATTAATTGTTTTACTTATCTTGACTAGAAAATAAAATTTAGCCATGAAAATTAGTATAGCTTACAATTTTAAAATATATTTCTTGACTTTTTCCATATGATTATTACAATGTCGATTATCACCATTATTGTAATAAACATACAAGTGAAGAAATTAAATTTAATAATAAATTAAGGATGAAACTAGAAAGAGGAACAACTGCCAATGATCTTGATATTGACGTATGTTGTCAAGGTCATGATTCTAAGTAACCTCCAATAGGTTTTTGTTGGTACCTGTGCTTCGTTAAAAAGTCGTTAACAATCAAAGTAAATCGACTATATATATATCCACTTTCTACGCAAAAGTTATACGCCTCTATATATATAGTATATACATGTAATGGACTTCATTTTATATGGAGAGTTGTGCATTCCTATATGTATATCCCATCTCTCCCCTAATACTTAGAATCATCGATTTTCAAGTAATAGATACATTGTTCGAAAATGAATTAAGACTCAAGAAAAATAAAATTGCGGCTTAAACGTTATTTTAATGGCATTGTATTTATTTCTAAATTGTATTTTGGAAGTTCCTTTTGCATTATCATATTACGACTTACTTATACATATTAGCCTTCAAACAAATACAAATAAGATTTAAGGCGTGTTTTAATTGTATTAATTAATTTTACAATCACTATAAATTATAATTAATAATATTAAAAATTATTTTCAAAAATTGAAATAATTGATTTTGATGAAAAATAAATTTTAAGGGAAATAAAAATTGTTATTGTACAATCTGAAAGAGAGAAATTTTAACATTAGAACAATAATATTCTAATTACATGGATATATTATAGTACCGTTATGAAATTTATTTATTTTCTAACATAGTTTTTATTTTAATTCTTTATAACAGAGAGAAACTTATAAATATTACGTAAAATAATATTAAAAGGCTCCGTCAGAATCAGTTGTCCTTTTTTTCACATTTGATAATTAAACATCAAAATTAAAAACTAATTGACAACAATCTTTCAACGCGTTTATATGCTATTTTGTTACATTCCATGTCGCTTTCGCGTACGTAGTCCAATATACTTTTTACAATATATACATCTAAATAATATGAATTTGAATAAATAAACAATGTATCTATTCTAAATATAATGTCAATATTATCTGTCAGTATTACTCAAATATAGGGGAGACTAGGGAGGGTCAGTAGACTATAGGTGTAAGTGGAATAATCGAGATGTTACAATTAAATCGCGCGAAATACGCGTAAACGTATCTGAGCACGCAGCAACTGCCACTCAGTCTGCTGTGATATCTTGAGATGAACGCATTTGTTTTAGAAGTTACGAATTTAGCAAAAGAAGCATTGTTTTACGAATCGAAATGTTAATTGTTAAAGTTTGTTAAGTTAGGAAATCTGTCATTCGCTACGCTCTGGTAAAAACATTGATAGAGAACGATAGAAAAATCCTATCGTTTTGAATATAAAATTTGATTTGTAAGTTCATTAATCAGATCTCATAGGAACTTTGTACAAATCTTATAAAATCCGATAAAATACGATTTATATCTGATCAATCGTGCTTGTGAGATCAATTATAGAAAATGATATAAACTAATAAAAAACGATACAAATTGATAAAAATCCTATTGTTCTCTATCAACTTTTTTTACCAGAGCGATCTCACGAGATCTGTGTGTATTCTATAAATAGCCGTATTTTCACTTTCTTTGAGATTTCACTCAAAAGAATTTAGAGAGTATTCTTTTTTATTTTAAATGCATCTATAATAGTATAATTTTTGTCGTTTTAATGATAAAAATATGCAATAATAATTAAATTATATAGTATATATATAAAATTTTTTATGCATGAATATGTATAAATATGTATAAACATATATAATTATATGAAATATGTTTATACATTCTTCTTTATTTTAACTTTTAAGTGCAATAGAAGTAATAAATAATAATTTGAAAACATTAAAAATAATTTAAAAAATAATTTTATGTAGGCACATTCTAAATGCATAAAGAATAACTTATCGTATTATGTTTGTTATGACTGCAATTTCGATAACGATTCGGATTAGATAAAATTTATTTATCTAATAACAACGTATAAAGTTATACATTTTTTATTTACGAGGTCTCCGATCTCCCCTACTTTACAACTCTAGTAGACAGGATGTCTCATTTGAAGTCATCGCGTCGAACGCAATTATCTCCTAGATCTAGACTGTTCGTTATTCCAAAATATATTTTAAGTAAAACTTAATATTTTGAATTAAATCACAATGGAACTTATAATCACCTGATGAGCGAGTTATAGGCAGAGTTGGTAAAAAACATGTTTTAAATAGTTTAAAACATGCTTAATTGATGTTTTTAATACGTTTTAAATATGTTTTTTATATTACTGTTTAAAGCATATTTGAAGCATTAAAAACATATTTAAGAAAAAACATAGTGTGTTTTATTTAAAAAAAAAAACATTAATCTTTATCAACCCTGATTATAGGAAGTAAAAGTAGTAGTGCGTAAAAGTTTTCCCTAACCCAAGCAGAACAAAAAGTCATGATAATACAGCTATGAAAATGACATCGCATCAATGAGGTTTGATTTTATTGATTTTCTTGATTTCCAGGAGTTTGCAAAGTTGTATCGTCATTATGAGAACTTATCGCCATATTTTCTGCTGTCACAAATTGATGCATCATTCTGTACATATTACTAATATTAGTTCCTTCTTGAAATCTTAAATAGCTATTCGTAACATTACATTGATAGATATTTAATCTTTTGAGAGTTTTCTTACTATAGAACTTTGAGTTACAAATTTTAATATTATTGATATCAGTAACACTTCACATATTGAAATAATAACACATACCTCTGTTGATTTACAACTCTTGATATCCAAGAATTTGCCAGTTTGTATCGTCATGACGAGAACTTACATCCGAAACGCCATGAGCATGGAATACTATGTTATTTATGTAATTTTCTTCAGAACTAGATATATATTCATCAGTTAATATTATTTAAATTGGATACAATATAACATTGAAATCATATTTATTAAATGTTTCACTCAAATTTATGAAGTCTATCCAGTCAGAAATGGTGATGTCGATTCGACGTCGAAAGCATCAAATCGACCGTCGATCGACGTTGATTCGATGTCGATTCCATTATCATTTCTAACTGGGTATATATTTAAATGTTAACATGTTCAATATAATTGCGTTAATTATGTATAATAGAATATACTATTTTAAGAAGAATAAAATATATTGATATTAGTATCATTTACCTTTGTTGACCTTCTTGATTTTCAAGATTATGCCAATATGTACTTCCATAATAATAACGCGTATTCATATTTTCTGCTGCTACGTCATGTTGCATCATTATATACTCGCTATTATCTGCAGCTTCTTTTTCATATTTTGAATTTTCATTTATATGATATTGACAGTGAGATCTTAAGTCATTTATTTCTGTATTGCTATAAAATACGCTAATAAATTGTAATTGCTGCAGTTATTGCAATTTACAATTAAGTATTTTATCGATTACGAAATGTTGAAGTAAATTAAGTAACGTTAAAATAAATTTGAAACGTAAAACGTAAATGTAAACGTAAACGTAAAACGTTGAAGTAAAATTTTAATGTACTTAAAGTGTACATTATGTATTTATAACTTAAGAAAAAAAAACATATTTTTATTAACAGTTACCTTTGTTGGTCTTGATTTCGAGGAGCTTGTCTATTTATATCATCACGATGGAAGCTTATATTTGCATTTTCAATGACTATAGATTGTTGTGCCATTCTGTTAACATCATTATCTCCAGGTTTTTGTGGAGATCTTAAAGAATTATCCTTTTCAAAACAAATGTGGTGTATTAAGGCATCTGTCCCGTAAAATATGTCCAGTAGAGCATGGCAACGTTTGCACCTTGCAATAAAGTTTTTCTTGCAAACTTCAAAATATTGTGATAGCGACTTATTTGCAATTACTTTTTGTACAATAGCTCTTATTTCTTGACTATGCTTTCTTTGTAGATGCATTTTTAGATTTCCTGTAAATATTCCTTGACAAAAAAGCTTACAAAATTTACATTTTCCTTTGAATAAGTCTACTTTGTCAAAATATTGCCATATCAAGTTATTATTGTTTTCCCATTTTAAGCGATCCTTTTCATTCCATATTTTATGCTTATAGTATAAATGTGTTATCATTGATGGTATCAATTTACTTATACGATGTTTATTAGAATAAGTTTTATTACAATTATTGCACTTTACAGTGAATTTGTTTAATTTAGAAACATATTTCCACATCCAATGATTATATGATCTTTCTCGAGCTGCCACATTCGATCGTTTGATCCATGTCGAGCTTATTTTCGTACAATATCGCGATGTGTTACTAAAAACAAAAAGAAAGTGAAATGTATAATTTTTCATTAATATATAAAGATTATTGATTGAATCTTTCAGTTCAATAAGAATTATATAGTTTAATTCCTACTCTCATTCGATTTCTGTTATCGATCAATCAGATTAAGATTAATTTCATTATATATATTTTACACGTCTTGACTTGAAAATAAAGCTTAACATTAAAAATTGGTACAAGTTCATATTTAGAAATGTTTCTTAACTTTTTACTGTAGGCTATTACAACGTCGTTTATCACCGTTATTGTAATAAAGTTAGATTAATAGATTAAGATAAATAAATTGAATTAAGTAATATACTAAATTTTTAATATATATTAAAGTCTACATTATATGTATATTAATAATTTAAGAAAAGTGAAACATTAACATCTTAATTACATAACAGTTACCTTTGTTGATTTTCTCGATTTCCAAAAACTTTATTTAAATTATCATGATAGGAACTTGAATTTGTATTTTCATCGACTACAGATTGTTGTGTCATTCTGTTCACATCAGGTTTATCTTCAGGTTCTTGTCGAGATCTTAAAGATTTATTCCTTTTAGAACAAATATGATTTATTAAGACATCTGTCCCGTAAAATATGTCCAGTTTAACATCGCAACGTTTGCACCATGCACTAAATTTTTCTTCATAAATTTCGAAATATTGCCATAGAGACTTATCCGCAATTTTTTTTTGTATATCAGTTCTTATTTCTTGATGGTGGTTTCGCAGATGCAACTTTATATTTGGTACATATGAGTGATGAATACAACAGCCACAAAATTTACATTTTGCTGTATATAAATTTGTTTTGTCGAAATATTGCCATATTAAGTCATTGTTGTTTTCCCATTCTAACCGATCTTTTTTATCGTATTCTCCATGCTCATGGTATAAATGTCCTTTTATTAATGTCATCTCTCTATCTTTTTTAGCATCAGTCATTTTATAAATTTTATTACAAATATTGCACTGTATAGAATCGTTTAATTTAAGAACATGTTTCCACAGCCAATTGTCTGATCTTTCTTGAAGTGCCATTGTATTCTCAGAGAGTCGCGATATGTTACTAAACACGAAATAACGATTATGCCAAGGAAGATATTCGGAGAAACTGTTTAGGAAAGGTCATTGAAAAGAGGGAGCAAAGAGAAAGAACGAAACAGTAATTATTCAGGTGTAAACATTATTATATTGATTGAATTTTTCAGTTAAAAGTCATGAGTTTCTGCTTATTCGATTTGTGTTGTTACACGTTTAAATTGAAATTAGTATTATTTATTTTACTTATCTTGACTAGAAAATAAAATGTAGTCATAAAAATTAGTACAGGTTACAATTTTAAAATATATTTCTTGACTTTTTCCATATGATTATTACAATGTCGATTATCACCGTTATTATAATAAATATAAAAATGAAGAAATTAAATTTAATAATAATTTAAAATTAGAAAAGAGAAGCACCGATGATCTTGACATTGACATATGCTGTCAAGGTCATGATTCTGAGTAACCTCCAATAAGTTTTTGTTGGCACTTGTGCTTCGTTAAAAAATCATTAACTGTCAAAGTAAATCGACTATGGGCGCACGACTTTCCACTTTCCACGCAAAAGTTATACGCATATATATATATACATGTAGTGGACCTTATTTTATATGGAGAGTTGTGCATTCCTATATATCCTATCTCTCTCTTAATATTTAAAATCATCGACTTTCAAGTAATAGATACATTGTTCGAAAATAAGACTCAAGAAAAGTAAAATTACGACTTAAACGTTATTTCAATCGCATTGTATTTATTTCTAAATTGTATTGTAAAAATTCACAATTCCATTACATAAAATATTTTTATAAGTTCATGATAAGAGCAATGATATATTAAAAAACAAATGAAGTCATAAAAGTATAAAACATTTTATTACATTGCTACTTTTCATATTTAATATATTTTAATGTCGTATTAATTTTATCATAACTTACTGTATTAAAGTTAAGGGATTTAATTCTATCGTTTTTATTTTTAAATAGAAAATAAGAATGTATATTGAATACTATTACTTGTAAACTAGACTCATAAACAGAAAATAAGAATAAGCGCGATTGCATTTATAAAGACAATGCGAATATTAAGACATCTAATAACTAACATATAATAAAATATTGTTACATTAAAAACATTTATTCTTTTTGAAAATGTTTAATGTAAAGAGACAAGTTAATAAAAAAGAAAAGGCAAAATGTAAACCGTATGTTATAATAAGTACATATCTATAATAAATACATATCTCTAATTAATTATAAATTAAATAAATAATATGTTTTCTGACACAGTATATCTCCTTAAAATGAATTTTTTTTTCGTTTATATTATTGCAACCTATTTTTATTGTACATATCAATTTTTGAATAAACAGATTCGATATTTGGAGTATGTTTCAATTACATTTATTTTATATAATAACCATTATACATTACAATAAATTTTAGTATATTAAAAGATTATCTCTAAAAATTGAATAGGTATAACCTTAAATAAAATGAATAATACAAATTAGAACATTTGTCAATACATAATTCGGAGAGACAGAGAGAGAGAGAGAGAGAGAGAGAGAGAGAGAGAGAGATTTTAACATTAGAATATTAATGCTCGAGATATTCAAATAATATAAATATCTAATTTTGAATAAATCGACAATAATTATTTTAAATAATATGAATATTATCTATCGGTATTAGCAAGATACATTTTACAATTATAATATATACAGGACATCTCATATTAAGCTTCGAGCGCAATTGTCTCCCAGATTATTCGTTATTTTAAAATATATTTTAAGTGAAATTTACTTTATTTTGAGAAGCATATATTTTTTAATATTACAGATCTTCTCTAGGTGAACATGCTTTCAAGTTAACCTCCATTTTTTCGAATGAAATCGCAAACATTTATTTACATGATATGGTTTCTCTAATTACTGTGTATATACAAGTATTAACCTTTATCGTATATAA